TCCCCATGTGGGTTTAAGGCCCCCAACCCACCCACTCTCGGTGTGGGTTCAAGAGCCCCATTGTGGGGGGGGGGGGGACAAGAATAGTCCCAGTGCCTCCGCAACAAGCGTGTCATATAAGTAGACTAAATAGGGGTTTAAAGGGGGTTCTCTTCGAAATTGGACTGCATCTGTCTGAAAGGCAAGAAACTAAGTCTTGGTACATATAAGCCAGATCTGTAACATGAATGGGCATGCACAATTCAAGCTCTGGAACAAGACTGAAGTCCACAAGTGGATGAACAACCAGAACTTTTCACCTGAGTTTACAGCCTGTGAATGTGAAGAAAAAGATAAGCAAGTGAACTTTCTACTGTGGTGCAACACATTTGGTTAAAATGTTGCTTAAATCATCATCATCAAGTGCCTTGCCAACTGGCGTGGGCGATCATGCCTCTCCGCAAACAGTGATTGTGTTGCTTAAATATAAATAATTTTTTGTGATTGCTGTCAAGTGAATATTTGCTGTTTCTTAAACATATTTTAACATTCTCTGAATTGTTATAGATTTAGGAAAAAGTTAATTTTTATGTACAGATATAAAAAAGTGAGAGAGGTGTAGACATAAATATGGGAATGATATGGTAGTCCACATGCTTTTCTGCCGTATTTTTTTGTCAAATGATACTAAATGCAGATTTTATTTTGTGTTTCTTATTGCTTAGTTTGTGACATTTCAGATGGTTTCCATTGTTTTCTTTTATTCAAAATATTGTTTCCTCAGGCACGTGGACGCCTTTCAACCCCGAGACTGTGCGTCTGATGATTGGTGAGTCTTTGTTTTTCTTCTAACGGTTAAATTAAAAGTAAAGGACCCTTTTCCATGCCTATTAGGCATATAGGGCTAGACCTGTTTATTTTATAGGACCAGTCGGCACTTGGTGGGTGATGTGGTCAGCATCACGCCGGCTGCTTTTACTTCCCAGAATTGCACCTGGGTCGACCTGCGAGTCAAGGTCATTTATTTAAAAATACCAGCTCCACAAGGACTCGAACCCATGACCTTTCGTTCTGCAGGTGAGTGTAACAGGGTTAAAATTATGGAAAATTAATAATATTTATTTATTAGCATCTTTCTCTGTCTGATCATTTTCCGTTTTTCTTTTCTTTCCGCTTGCGTTCCAATGTCATTACAAATATGAACTTTGTTTGCAGGCATGTTTGACAGAGACAACTCTGGCACAATCAACTTTCAGGAGTTCATGTCCCTGTGGAAGTACGTGACAGACTGGCAGAACTGCTTCCGTTCCTATGACAGGGATAACTCTGGGTCAATAGACAAAAACGAGCTGAAAACCGCACTGACTGGCTTTGGTAGGTTGTTAACTTTATTCGAATGTGATGAAATATTTGTCATGCGACTCCGGTTGTGTCAGGGATACCATCGATTTATTGGTTTATCTCCTTTGAGCTGCTACCTAAAGGTTTATGACCCTGAGATCAAAACAATCTCAGTCTGGGTGGCAGACCTTCAGGGATGTCAGAAAACCTGTTCAGCCTCCACAGACGTTACAATTAGAGCAAAACTTGCAGTCCTATGCTGGTAAGGGCTTTACTGATACAAATGAAAACTTTATATATATATAATCATCATTATCGTTTAGCAGGTCCTTTGCAAAATATCGTTTTCATCACAGTCTGCCTGAAAGAAACTCAGTCTCCAGCCAGCTCTTCCGCCTTGTGTTTTCACATTCAAGGAGTCACTTATGTCCTTGTGCCCATCTTCCTGGTTGGCTCCTGCCTCTCCTTCCTGGTACCATGCCTTCTGCTATTATTTTTTTCCAATCCCCAATGGCGCTTGATATGACCAAAATATTTCTGTGATGTTCAGATCTTTTAAAATGTCAGTATTTTCCCTATTCTTTGTTCGTGGTATTATGAGAATCTTTCTATAACATTTTAGCTCAGAAGCCCCAATTTTCTTTCTTAAGGACTGGGAGATAGTCCACAACTCACATCCGTAAGTTGCTACACGGAAGATACATGCTCTCAAAATGTGTGTTTTCTTGCTGGTGCTGAACTGTAGACTTTTAATGCTGTTTTATATATATATATATATATATATATATATATATATATATATATATATATATATATATATATATATATATGTGTGTGTGTGTGTGTGTATGCTTATACCTGTATTTGGATGAGTGTGTTTCATTAGTGTAATGATCCTACAGAACCTTTAGATATATTGTCTTGAAACTCCCCCCCCCCCAAAAGCAGGTTACCTGGCATCTTGTGTGTCTTTATTTAGGTAATTTTCAGTTGGACATACAAAAAGACTTATCAGTCAACAAAGAACTGGCACTATTAGTCACAGGATGCTGGGGTTTATATTGAGGGAAGGATCTGAGCACCTAGGGACATGTCCGGAGTGCAATGATCATATCCCTCAGGCACTGGATACAGTACTAATAAATGAAAAAATGATCATTTGTGGGGATTTTAATAGCCATTCCCAAAGTTGGGGCTACGATCATATGGACCAGAGAGGAGAGAAACTAGAGGACTGGCAGGACGAGAATAGGTTCATCCTCGTTAATAAGCCAACCGACCCACCAACCTTCTACTCTAGAGCATGGCATACCACCTCGACACCAGACCTAGCCTTTCACTCAGCAGACATGGAACTGAATGTTACCAGAACTGTTGGGAAGCAACTAGGAGGCAGTGACCACCGGCCAGTCTTTCTAAACTATCGAAAGCCAGTCTGTAAGAGAGAGCAGCACACTGCCAAGGTGGAATTTTAAGAAGGGCAGACTGGAAGTTGTATCAGCTTCGCACAAATGTTCTGCTGGAAAATCTAAACACAGATAACGACGTGTAGAAAAAGTAATCCAAGAGTTGAGCAAACGCATGCTGCAGGCAGCCCTAGAAGCAGTTCCAAGAGGTGCGCGTAAACAATACAAACCGTACTGGAATTGCGATCTGGAGCAACTGCACAACAATATGGAAACAGAAAGAAAACAAGCTGAGACCAGACCTTGTCAAGAGCAGTTTAACAACTACCAACATTCAAAGCCAAATTTCAAAGAGCCAAACTGCAGGCTAGACGGGCAAGCTGGCAAGAAAAGACAAAGTCTCTAAACTTTGAAAGAGACACAAGGAAGTTGTGGAGGTTAATTAAGCAAATTAATGATGAGAATACAGGAAGAAATGGTAATATTGCACTATGCAAAGAGGGAGCCATCCTAACAAGAAAACAGGCAGCTGACCACTTTGCAGATTCCTTTGCAGAAGACAGCAACATTAATGTCAGCCCAGAGAAACAGCGAGAGGTTCAAGAAAACAAACAACATACAAGACAAAAAGATATAATTCCTGAGGCACTGGTGGCAGCACTTACATCCAGCGAGTTAGAGTTAGCAATATCAAAGCTGAGAATGGGAAAATCACCTGGAATTGATGGTATCACCAACAAAATGATCAAGAACCTTGGATCAACTGCCAAAAAAAAGCTGCTACAGATCTTTAATCATTGTTGGACCAGTGGCAAAGTTCCTCAAATATGGAGAGAAGCAATCACAATACCTCTGCTTAAACCAGGAAAGGACAGTTCTGATGCCTCCAGCTATAGACCGATCAGTCTTACCAGCTGCCTCTGTAAAACAATGGAACGTATTGTCAACCTTAGACTCCAATGGTACTTGGAAAGTGAAAACATTTTCACGCCGCAGCAGGCAGGATTTAGACAGTGCTACTCCACAGAAGACCAGACAACTTACCTTTCACAAGAAATTGAGGATGCCTTCCAGGAAAAGAAGCTAGTGCTAACGGCATGGATAGATCTGAAGAAAGCCTTTGACAAGGTCTGGAAAGAAGGTCTACTGAAGAAACTGAGAGACTGCAGGGTGAATGGGAGAATGTACAAATGGGTGAAAGCATACTTGTATAACAGAAGATCCCGAGTACAGATAGATGGACTTAAGAGTAAGAAAGTTTTGCTGCGCCATGGCGTCCCACAAGGAGGAGTTCTGTCCCCCACACTCTTCCTAGTCTATATCAACGACCTGCTTTCTGAACTACCCCGTGGAATTAAAGCTGCAATGTATGCTGATGACTTGGTACTCTGGTGTACAAATGAAAATGCGACAGTGGCCACCAGGCTGCTACAAAGAGCCATAGATGTAATGGCTGATTGGGCCAACAAATGGTGTGTCAGCATCAACATAGGCAAATGCAGCACCACCCTCTTTACCCTTTCTCCTAAACAAAAATCAGGTGTCATGCACATAAATGGAGTACCCCTGAGAGAGGATAAGGAGCCCACATACCTCGGCGTAACGTTTGATGATAGATTAACATGGAGAAAAACACATCAACAAGGCAGCAACCAAAGCCAGAAGGAGGGTAGCCATTCTGAGAAAACTAAGTGGAACCACATGGGGTGCTAGCGGGAAAATACTTAGAAAAGTTTACCAACAAAGTGTTCGACCACATCTTGAATACGGATCAACAGCATGGAGTTCGGCATCAAAAACCACATTGCAAGAATTAGACAAAGTGCAAAATCAAGCACTCAGAGTTACCACAGGCAGTATGAAATCAACACCTATAGCTGTGATGGAGAAAATGGGGATGACCCAAGCACTGAGTGAACGCAGAGACACCAAGATGCTTTTACAAGCAGAAAAGTTTCTTAGTATGCCCAGTCACCCTATGAATGAAAGATTCCAAAATTTGGCTTTGGGACGACTAAAGAGAAGTAGTTTTATCCACCAGGCCAAACGCCTCGGCAGACAAACCACTGATTTACCTGCAACTGATAGATCCTTAAATGCTGTCCCAGAACGGACCCCCTGAAGAGAGGAGTATAAGTTTCCAATACACATCAAGACTGAAGTGAAAGGGGTATTTGACAAGGAAGAACAAAACAGTGTGCAGCGCAAAACAGCCACCCTCAGTCTACTTGATGATGAATACCCGCAGAACCTTTGGGTCCGTGTTTACACAGACGGGTCAGCAGAAAGCGCAGTCAGAAACGGAGGTGCGGGAGTGTACATTGAGTATCCTAATAATACCAGGGATACAGCCAAATTACCAACGGGAAAGCACTGTCACAACTATGATGCAGAAGTTCAAGCCATCAAGATAGCGGCAGAGAAACTACTAAATACAGGGTATTTTTCACAACCAGTGGTATTCCTGACAGATGCAAAAGCAGTACTTCAGTCACTCCAGTCTGGAAAATTACCAAGCATACGGACACTATTATCCGAACTAGGCAACCGCTGTAAATTAGTAATGCAGTGGATACCTTCCCACTGTGGAGTTCCCGGAAACGAAAAAGCTGATAAACTAGCTAAGGAAGGTACAACTGAAGAACAACCTAACATACCAGTCTCTTATCAACAGAAGAAGAGAATGATCAAATCAATCAGAATGCCACCGAAACTGGCACAAGATGATTACCATATTATGGACAGACCAGAGCAAGTCATTATCCTTCGCCTTAGAACAGGGCACAATCGACTTCGCTCCCACATGTACAACAAATTTAAGATTGGCCAATCAGCCATGTGTACTTGTGGACTGGCACCTGAAACAACAGATCACATCCTTCAAGACTGTCCCAGATTCAACGCTTTCAGGCAAAACCTTTGGCCAAAAGAGACACTTGTGGAAGTCAAACTTTACGGGCCGCTTAGTGAATTACAAAAGACAGTGAAATTCATACTAGAGACAGCTTTGCAGATATAGACAATTTATTTCATGCGAACGAAAGAAGAAGAAGAAGATATCCCAAATAACTATCTATCTAACTTTTTCATTTGTCCAGGCGATCAGGGTGTGGCTTTTTAACGAGATAATAATGTGTAGAATAAATTAATATAAAAGTTACTAGGTCATAGGAAATAAAAGTGGCCAGCATATTGACCTCATCAACCATGAAATGCCAGTTGATCTGTAATAGTATGGAGCTTACTTACCCAGGATTCAGAGCATTGAAAAGGGCCATAATCTTTACAAAATTTAAAGACAAAATGAGTTACTTTGCTCTTGTGGATCTTCTTCACTTCCTCTTTTACCGCTTTGGGTGTTGTGATGGATATCAAGTTCGACTTCTGCCCGTCTTGACCAGAGACACATTGTGCTGTTGTAAAGTTTCTCTGAAACTTTACAACAGCACAATGTGTCTCTGATGTTATCTTGTCACTTTGTTATTGGTCGACATTGTGCTATATGTCCTTCTCTTTTAGTGTATGCCTTGTATGGTGTGTGGTGTCACAAGGCAAACTGTTTTATTTGTATATAATTTTGAATCGGTTTTGTGCCAGCTTTTTCTTTCATGACCCCATTCCTGTTTGAATATATAATTTTTTAGTATTAATTATCATTTTGCAATGTGTTAATTTTATTTAGCTAAATTTGTTTCATTACAAAAAAAAACCTCATTATCAAATTTGAAAACCTTCTTATGATGAATCTTTAGACCAATCAAAGAATCAAACAGTGAAAACGGAGAGTGGGAAGCAACAAGGACATTAATCTTTTTAAATCATCAGTAATTAGCATCATGAAAGCTGTTGGGCTGTGGTGGCTAGGACATATATAGAGAATGTTACATAACATAGAGTCAAAGACTGTTTACAAAAAAAGTATTCAATGGGGGCTAGATCATGAGGCGGACCAAGAAGACAATGGAGAGATTTTATAAGGCAGATCTACAAACACATTGAATCACCAATTAGAACAAGAATGCCTCAGAGATGAATTAAGGTGGGTGACATTTGCAACAAAGAACCTCAAAAGCTCAGAATGCTGAAGAATAAGAATTGCGTTTCGTGTAGAATATTAACATCTGTATTTTATTTTCCTAGGTTATCGTCTCTCAGATCGATTTTACGACATCCTTATAAAGAAATTTGACCGGCAGGGACGGGGCACCATAGCATTTGATGACTTTGTCCAGTGCGCGGTTGTCTTGCAGGTATAGTTCAGTTTGTTTTTCATCGATCACCACAGGAATTCTGATACTTGTACCACCAGCCCTGCCCTCACCACCCCTCTCGCCTAGCCTTAACAATCTTCTCTGAGCACTGAATTCAATAGCCCTTCGAAGTAGGAGTACATCTCCTGGAGAGGCGGGGAATGAGATCAGCAAATAAATAAGCCAGTAAAACGGATGTACATGCAAAACTCAGGTCTAGGCAAAAGCCAAAAGTCCAATTGGATGAACAACCGGGACTTTCCGCCGGAATTCACAGCTGGTGAACAAGAAGAAGAAGAATTCAGTGGCATGGGAATTCTGATAATAATGCACACAAGTCCTGACCTCACTACCCACTCAACAATCTTCTCCCATTGCACTAGGAAACATGAACTGAAACAATTGCTAATAAACTGGTGCATGCACAGAATAGAGGGCATTTAACAGTATGGTGGAATCATTGATGTTGAGTTTTGGGAGAAAACTAAACAAATTCCATTGAATCAAGAGGTGAAAAGATGCTGGCGTTGGATAGTTCACATGCTGACAACAGTATAGCTAGAATGTCTTTGCACTGGAACCCATAAAGGCAATTTAAAATAAAGAAGGCAGACCAAAAACATATGGAGAAGGGAGCTAGAAAGAAGATGAAAAGATAGGGAGGTCATGCGGCGACGAGTTGGAGTTGGTTAAGGACCTATGCTCCATTGGGAGATAAAGACAGAAGATAATTAAACAAACATTTTAAGAAGGAAGTTAGAGAGCAAAGTAAAAAAAAAAAAAAAAAGCACCCATGTTTCTCCCCGTCTTGCAGTCTCCAACAGCATGAATAATTTTATGTGCTAAGTAAAAACTCAAGAAATGTCTTCTCTCATTATCATCTTCTATCTCTTTTCCCATAACTTTTCAATTTCCTCCTATGGCTAGAAATGATGACTTCCTCCTTCTGATGTGTATTGTCTTCACGTTCAGTGGCTGTAAACTCTGGCAGAAAGTTCTAGTTGTTTGTCCACATCTAAACTTTAGTCTTATTCCAGAACTGGCACATCCATTATACAGACCTGCTTATTTATATGCAGACTGTTGGTTCCCCACCGCTGTGGCAGGTGCACTCCTTCAGGGGGAAAATCCCTAATTACTACCCTGCTGCGATATGCTCTATAGGGAAGCAGGTCTCCCCCCCCCCCCCCACCCTCCATGGGGCCTTGGAACCCACAAAGGAACCTAATGTGTGTGATCAGTTGTCTTTGGGTCTTAGCCTTTTTTTTTTTTTTTTCAAAACATCTAGATTACTCATTTTAAAATACATGATATAACACAGCTGTCAATACTTTCCTTGGCAGACATTGACAAGTTCTTTCCGTGCATTCGACACTGATCAGGATGGATGGATACAGATCTCGTACGAACAGTTTCTGACTCTAGTCTTCAGCTTGAGGAGTTAACAGCCCACTTCTCGTTATCACTCGTGGATTTGAACTGACTTTAATTCTTACATCTATTTACATTGATGTATTTTTTCTTTTGATATTTTCCACTAAATATATGAGTTTGATGCACCATGGTTGTGTTTGATGCACCATGGTTATATTATTATTTTATGTGGTTGTTAATGTGATGGTTGATGTGAATTTCTACTGTTATATAAGGTACAGTGACAATTACCTTTAATGCTTCTGTTGAATAATTTGTTTTAATAATACAGTGGATATGAACGTTTAGAACAAGTAGTGATGGGATCTGACATGTTAAAATATGTGGATTATATGTTGAAAGTGTGGATAGTTTAAAAAAAAAAAAAACTAGCTGAAAGAATATTTTGTGATGCAGAAGAAATATATTAACGTCCTCATCTTATGGGGATGACAGCATAAGACAATCCAAATCAGCACAGAGGAACATTTCATACAAAGCTTATTCATTCCCACCCTATGCTACCAGTGCCAGACATGGTCACTGACAACAAACTAAAAAAAAAAAAAAATTTGGCAACCATGGAAATAAGATGTCTCTGAGAGGCTGTAGGAGTGACCAGAAGAGATAAAATTTAGGAATGAGGTCGCCCGGCTCACTATCGCGGCGACCAGGTGACGAACTCCTTGTGGTCCGGGTTCATGCCAGGAGGTAGGCAGAAAAGCTACATTTCTCCTAGATTTACGGTATCTGTCAGGGAATCAAGGCCGAAGGGTTGTGATATCCATAGTGCCGAGCCAAAAGATTAACAACTCATGGTTTCTGGATATGAAAAAGAAAAGGAACGAGGTCATGTGAGAAAATGTCGGCACTGAACCAGTTCTAAATTACATGCAGAGACTGCAGATCAAATGGTTTGTCCACTTAGAGAGGATGTGATGCCTTACCCTTCAAGGCATGTACTAAAGAAGGAGGGCGTAGAGAGCAAGAACAAGATGGAAAGATGACATCAGAGAAACTCTACAACAGCACAATCTGTTTGTCATCAAGGCGACCAGAAGAGCAATAACAGAACCTTGTATCCCCCCTGGTAAAAGAGGAAATTAAGAAGCAGATACAAACAGTTGTGTGGATATTTTTTTTAAATTGTAGTTTAAACATGAGTACATTTATGAAAACTACTTTATCTCTTTTCATTGCTACATTTTCCCATGGAATATTTTCTCTCTGTTTTTAAACCTGGTGTATATTATACTTACAAGCTGCCGTTGCACAGTGGTTGGCACATTTGCCTGCTCCACACTAGTCATGATATTGAATCTTCTTTGACAGAGGGAATATTTTAAGTGGCATAGGCTGCCAGATTAACCCAGTCCCTAATGGCCATAAGTATATTTTCTGGGAAGCAAAGTCAGTCAGTCAGCATGATTTGGACCAACTCATCCATCGTCAGTCAATAGATGTAAAATTATTGACCTAGCACCAGATACCCCCCTATATGCCTCATGTGTCAGCGTGGAAAACTTTACATACCGGCGGCTGGCTGGGGTCACTTCACCCAAAAATTTTTTTTCTTTATTTACAGAGTTAGAGCAGTTATTTTATAATGGTCATTTGTAGGAATACATGTTATTACATTTGTATACTTTAAGTGTTAAAAAAATCATAGCTGTCATGGCAATAGCCGCCATCTTGTGAAAAAAAAAAACAATATGTACTTAGAATCCTGAAATTTTAAAAACAAACATAAGTATTCAACCGTAGATGATGGATTCATGACCTTTAATTCTATTTAGAAGTTCAGGTGTAGTTTACTTACTTTAAACATGTTTTTAAATATTTTTCGTAGAATTTGAAAATGTAGGTTTTTTGAAAAAGTCAACAAAATCTAGCATCATAAGACAATTACCAAATTTTAAAGAACAAAAGCTTTCTAACATCTAATTTTAAAAAGACCAGTCCCTATAATATTGTTTACAGAGTATCCATACTAAATTTCATGTTTCTAGTCTTTATGTTAGCTGAGATTTTAGGATTTCACACACGCAACAAATAGAAATATAGAGATGTGAGAAAACTGACGTTGAAACTTTTTTTTATCTTATAAAAGTGCATGGGTTGGTGTCTTTAGAATTAACTTTTCAATGCTAAATTGTTTACAAATGACAAAAATGTTGTGTGTAATCTATTATTCAAATGCCGAATTTTACAAAAACAAACACATTGAAAAAGTGATATTTTTGTCATAAATTTGAAAAAATGCTGTGAAGTGACCCCTTAAGAATGCTGGGCTTCCATGAGGGAGGCCCATATTTGAATGCTCTGTAAAATTGTGGATTTTTTCTGTCGGGGACAAAAAATAAAATACTTAACTAGTCCGTGGTGACAGCACTAGCCATTATATCCTCAGGCTCAAAGACCCCTCTGCCTACACAACAGAAGTGGTAAATACAAGCTGTAATGGCAGGTGACAATATACCTACTACACCAAATGGAGTGTAAAATGTTGTGTATACAATATTTGTTAATACAGTGCAGGCTTGGGTGTGACAAATTTCTGTTGTGAAGAACAATTTGTTTATCCTTGGCAGTTTTTTTTTTCAATGGATAAGAAGAATTTCTTGTAAAAAGAATGATTTGTTGGGTTCCATTTCTATTGTAAAGAACAAATTGTTTATCCCCGGCAGTTTCTCTCAATGGATAATAAGAATTTCTTGTCAGAAGGTTTTGTTGGGTCCCATATGAGTTCTCCATATCGGCACTGTATTCAGGTCGAGGGTATTTCCCTGGTACATACTACCACAGGGGATGTGAAGTGTTCATGTATATTCTAGATTACAGGTGGGTTCCAGTGCCGCATGTATGCAAGCAAGTAATTAATTAGGGGATTACTAAAATCAGATGTCTTAGGCCAAAAGGATATTGATGCCTAGCTGTTAACCCCAGCACGTGCCAACTACCTTTTGAAGGGTGAATCAGAATACTTTTGCCACATCTGTGCTGGCCAGGTAACATAAATGAAATGGACTTGGGAAAACCTCGGACGTGTGTTTAGCAGTTGTGGCATTAACTCTCTTTACTACCACACTTTCTCATCGAACATTAGTCATTTTTTATCCCAAATACATCGGCTGCAAATCAGAACCTTCTCATTAATTTCTTTTGTAACCTGATTTATGCTTAAATAAAATGTACCTTATCTGCTCAGTATCATCTGTTGTTTCTTGTTTATGAAAGCTTGACTATTCCCATTGGGAGCAAGTGAAGAGTGCAGAGGCACAAATAGATATTAATGGTCTGAGGAGAATGGTGTTGCTAGGAGTTACCAGGGGATCTGGCTGATGCTCAACACTCAAGGGAAGAGCTAGACGAATATACAATCAGACAGTTACTGGTACCATCAGAACTGGAACCTTTCACTTGTTGCTGAAGTTGGGGACGAAACACTTATGGGAGTGCCCTGAGTGCTATGACGACGATTCTTAATTAAATATTGGACTATACACAGATGATGAACCCTTGAGGCCATAGAAACAGTTTATAATGGCCAAACCATTTTTTGATTGGCACTCCTAGTGAAGACATTGAGGGCCCCAATTATTCTCCCTAAGAAGCCTGTCATAAAGGGCAAGTAATTAGGGGTGTTTCTTTCAAAGACTGAGTGCATCTTCCTGATACTGATTTAAGAATCAACATCTTAGCACACAGGACATACGTATAGGTGCTCTGTCTCCTGCAGCAAATGATTAATTTTAACTATTTCTGTAGCACACAGATTCTCTTTCTCTCATACGCCCTCCTTGCCAGATCCACACGTAATTCACCCTTCACACATGTGTTATTTCATCTAGCCTCATTTTCTGTCACCATTCATTCATAAATGGTTTTCAGAATGTCACCTTTATCCAGTGCGAGTGCTCCTGCAACAACATCTGACATTCATGAATGAAGAATGTAAAACAAATAATATGAGAATCAGCACTGAAAAGACATAAGTAATGTCAATAGGAAAAAAGAAGACAGATCTAAACATAGCAATAGAATACAAAGGCATTAAACAGGCATCTGAGTTTAAATATCTGGGAACTACATTTACCGACGATGGGAAATTGGATAAAGAAATTGGCATTAGATGCAGTAAAGCAAACCAAGTATTGGGACAGCTAGCCCCCCTCTTACAGCATAAGACAATCCCAATCAGCACAAAGAGACATCTTATTCAAAGCATATTTATTCCAACTCTGTGCTACCAGTGCCAGACATGGTCACTCACAACAAACCATAAAAGAAAATTAGTAACCACAGAAATGAGATGTCTGAGAAGGGCTGTAGGAGTGACCATAAGAGATAAGATCAGGAATGAGATCATAAGAGAACAAGTCGGCACAGAACCAATTCTGGATTACATACAAAGACAGCAAGTGAAATGGTTTGCCCGCTTAGAGAGAATGCCTTGTGACACCATACCATACAAAGCATACATGGAAAGAGAAGAAGGACGTAGACCACGGGGTAGACCAAGAACAAGATGGAAGGATAACATCAGAGAAACTCTACAACAGCACGATGTGCCTATGGTCGAGGCAGCCAGAAGAGCTAGAAACAAAACCTTATATCTCCCTCGACACTCACAGCGGTAAAAGAGGAAGTGAAGAAGAGAAGAAGAAGAAGAGTGCTCCTGTAGCTATCCCTTTTGTAGCCAACAAATCTGCTCTTTAATTCCCTTGCACTCCTGCTTATTTTGATGATGAAACTGTTGCACTGTTTAGTAAGAATTTCACCTTGAGAGTCAGTGATTATTCAGTACGCTTCAGGTCTAAAAATTCATGCTGGCATAGCCATAGTCTGCAAAGACGTTCTGTCCTCAGCAGTCTAGATAAGATTACTAATAACAATCGGTGAGGGTCTGGTTACAGCCTCATACAAATTATCACCTGACAATTTTCTGAGAATTGTCTGACATGGTGGGTAGTGAATTATCCTATCCCGCAGTCGTTAAGAAAGAAAATGGGCTTTTGAGTTAAAATGCTAT